TTTCAATCTCCCCATTTTTGGTAATTGATGACAACCAACTTAGGCTTACATTGGATTTGAAAGAATTTAAAGCTTTTGAACCCCAAAATTTAGAAAGAGCTCCCCCTTAACATATGCATTGGATTTGAATTCCAAGCGAGACTATTAATCATTATTTCCATATGTTGAGAGAAAGAAGCTCCCCCAAGATTTTGCAATTAGTGGGGTGCCTAACAAGTGTGTGAAGACATATATACAAAGGTGTGATGCAATATGATAGGATATACTCACAAACAACTAAAAGAAATGAATGGCCATGATCAAAGATAGATACTTGACAACAAAGAGCCATCCAAAAATTAACAATCACCATCACAAGTAGAGACAAGCATAAAAGCTAATAAGATAGATAGATAAGCATTAAACTTGTCCTACAATCATCCCTCACACACACATATATATATGTCCATCATATAGTACCACCGCATGACATAAGATAATAAAATGTCTCGAACTCAAACCAACTAGCTTATTACAAGGAGTTTTCAAATCAAAGCCTAGCACTCCCCCTTTGGCATCAAATGCCAAAAAGGGTAGGCCATGTGAAAGAAACAACTACTCCTCGTAGTCCACATCGTCGCCGTCATCATCACCATCATCGTCATCATCATCGTCATCACCTTCTTCTTGGTACTCCTCATCCTCGGGGTGCTCCTCGTTGATAGGTTGCTTGCCCTTACCACGAGGATCAGAAGAGGACTCACCATAGAACTCTGCACAAGCCTCCTCATAAAGCTTGAATGGGTCATGAAGTGGTACCAAAGGTGGAGGGGGCTGTGACTGATTGCCAAAATGCTGCTCCAAGCGATATTGCCTCTCAAGCATGTCTTGCTCACGCTGAGTGCTAGCACAACAAGCTCCAAACATGTACTGCATGAAGAACTTGAACTTGTTTTGAGTCCTCTTACTAGACGTGGAAGGAGCCTCCTCACTAGAAGCACAGCGAGAGCGCGAAGCAGGCGGAGGAGAAGAGCGAGAGCGAGAGTGAGTGTGAGAGCGAGAGCCCGAAACACCACTAGGTCCCTTCTTCAAGGCATTCTTGGCCTGCAGGGACATCTTGTTGGAGATTTTCAGCACGGTGTGAGGAGCATCCGTGGGGAATTTGAGGCCAGATACTTGCTCAATGATATGCATAATATAGGGAGCATACAGAAAGTGCTTCACTGTATCCTCACTGGCCAAGAAGATCTTGTCCCATATGTAGTGGCCAATGGAGAACTTAGTGAACTCATCACCAAAGCAATCAAGCACAACCGGGGAGTCATCCAGAAGAAAAGTGGAGTCACCAATCTTCGGATACAGGGTTTGGCGAAGAATGTTGTTGAGGACATAGAAGTAAGGCTTCAACCAAACCGTCTGCCACATGACCCTCTTGGTACATGTATTGGTACTCTGAGGCAGCAAGAGGTTGCATATCTAAAATCCTAAAAGCTTGACAATCCTTGCGGCCCAAACCAAGAAGACGAGAGAAGGTGAGGGCATCAACCTTGTAGTGCACACCTTCAGTGGTCCAATGTATGATATTGTTGGCGTTGTCAAGGTAGTAGGAAGCATAAAACTGACAAATCACCTCATTGTTCCAGGGCTTGCGGAAGCTGAGCAAGGCAAAGAGGCCCATAGAGCGCAAATCACACTCAAGCTGTTGGAGTTCCAGCTCTGGAAACTGACCAAGATGATACATATCAATGGACTTCATCTAAATCACTGGAGGTTCGTTCTTCTTGGTATACTTGAGAAACACCACATGATGATAGAAATCAAAGTGAAACAGATGCCAAAAACGGGCCTCAAGACGAATGTCCTTAGGCTCATCATAGAGGGGCTTGGCCCGCTGCTCCCAAAGCTATGTCACCTTGTGCCGATAGTCAATCATCAAATGTGGTTGATATCCTTGTCCATGAGAAGGAGTGAAGCGAGGACACTGGACAGTGAGTTGTTCATCACCTTGTGTCGCACCGGTTTTTTGAAGAATACCAAGCATTAACTATATGTGTGCCCAGGATGTCCACATGACACATATATCGACAAATATGGAGATTATCAAAGACAATGCTTTATTACATATCGAAACATAGTTACAACAAGACTTACATCTATTACAAAGCATAGCAGAAACTACTCTTAATCTTCTCATTGGGTCTCCATACTCCACAGGGATGGTTGACTAGGGGAAACACTTGCCTAGTACTCATGGACTCTAGAAGAAACTCTTCACTTGATCCACCATCTGGTACCCATCTTGGATTTTTGTTGATTGTAAAACAAGTGTGAGCGTACCATACTCAACAAGTATAACATGAGGGGATGCAAGGCTCAAAGGCTAGATACGATTGAACTACGTTAAACACTTAATTTGGTCATATTTTATTTGTTAAACCTGTGTTGCTAGGTTATGCTTAAGCTCCTAACATGAAAGTATATTTATGTGGAAGAACCGCCTGAAATAAAACGTCTTTGGAGGCGCTCGTCTTCCACCAGACACTAAGCACCCCGAGAGCAAGCTACATCGGGCGGGTTCCATCGAGCACACCCCAAGGGAGAGCCCAAATAATCCACATTTTCCCCAGGGATCCAATAATGAGTACGGGTTACAATACTTAGTCCATTTCATACATCCAGAGTTCTTAAAAAATATTATTACAATACCAGATTTAGAGTGCGGAAATTTAATAGAGGAATGAAAAGAAACATCTATCGATAATATACAAGGATCTGTCTATGCCCACCAGAAGAATCCTTCACACAACGGCTACTCCTCAAGCAGTACCTGCAACAGAGGTAAATAACCTTGAGTACACAATGTACTCGCAAGACTTACCCGACTAGTGGAAATAATTTCCCGACTCCAAGGGATATGACAAGCTTGATAGTTTGCTGGTTTTCTTTTTGCAGAAAGCAATACTAATAGTGGATCCTGATTTAAGTTATTTTAGCAGTCATGATTAATTCATTATCTAGCCATTCTATGTAAGCACCTGTTCTACTTTCAAGCAAGGGTTGAGCAAATAGTTCCATTTTACCACCTTCCCTCTTTCAGTTCTTACTATGGTGCTAGACTATAGACAAGCCGTACCGGATTGCTCGGCGATTCACGAATCAATGTGCCCAGCTGGGTACCCCGAAAACACATGCCCCGCTTGCACCCTAGGCACAAACAGGACTAGCCCACCACTCTCCTGTCACGGGGTCCAGTTCCCCGTCCAAACTTGGACTCCAAGCCCCCGCTCCTGAGTCTCGGACTCAGTGTGGTGCTTAGACCTTCACCATCCCCGCCTCCAATTAGTTGGTCAGAAAAGAGACGGAACCAACGACAAGAGAGAAATAAGACTTCCCTGCGCCCATACCCAAGTATGTGCTCGGGATAATAAGTCTGTGACTTGCCTAGAACCCAATGCAACGGCCGGTCCTTAACTGACACAGACAGGAAAAAAGTGTAACCAAGCTATGCCTTGTTGGCCGCAGGACACAACCTCTTACACCCACCAATACCCAAACCACATCCCTGCCCAGTCTCTATTTTTCCTTTCCACCATTTTATCATGAGTGATCATAATTATCACCTATTGTGAGTAACGGCAGGTTACCCACGCTACCGAAATCTTAAGCATAGCAGCTACTCGACCTATACTAGTAGGACACATAGGTAAGTATATCTATGCATGTAGTTTTCATAAAATACCTATAACGTAAATGCACATCATATATATATATATTATGCACCGGGGTTTTCCTTGGGCAGGCGGTGTGTCAACAGAGTCAGCAACGAATGGCTCTGGGACTCCCTCCTGTACAAGAATCTCCTCCTCGTACTCCTCAATGATCTCCTCGAACTCCTGTTCGCCCGCATGAACGAACTCTACCAACTCGTTATCTACATGCATGAAATGATGATGCAACACTTAGTAATACAGCAACAGCAACTCTTAAAATACGAACACACCTACCAAGCTACTAAGCTAGTTCTACCGACTAAGGTGCTAAGTTACCTATTGCTACCACTAACAAGTATGAAACATGGCATGTATTATCTTAGCAACTAAAGGCATTCTTACTCTTAATACCGATTTACTATATATATACTAAAACAAGGAGTATTAGCTACCCTATATACCAGTCTACTCAAGGGCTACAAAAATTAGAGTGAGCACATAATATTCTAATGAACCTACGGTAAAAATTTCATGGCCAAAACTATCACCAATTTGCCACAAAAATTCCTACAAATATTAAGCTAAATAATACTAAGCTTTCCTACATGAATTAATGAATCTATCATTATCACAGATAACTGTAAACTAACTACACCAACTGATAGATATCATTTTTGTGAACCTAACAAATTTTGTTTCACTATTTTTGGACATCTATAGAATTTACTATAATTTTTCAAAGCTTAGCTCAAAACAAAATTGAATAAACATTTACTAATTTACTAGAAAATGAAAATCGAAATCCACCACGCGGCCCGCGAGCGAGCGGCGCGGCCCAACCCCGTTCACGACTGAGGTGGTTGCCAAGCTATTCAAGGACACTGTCTTCCGCTTGCACGGCCTACCCAAGTCCATCATCTCTGACCGCGACAGAATTTTCACAAGTAAGTTTTGGCAGCTCCTTTTCAACTCTGCTGGTTCTGAACTCCGCCGCAGCTCCTCCTACCACCCTCAAACCGACGGGCAGACAAAGCACATAAATTAGTGCCTCAAAACTTACTTCTGTTGTTTCATGCATTCCTGTCCGTCTCAATGGAGCCGCTGGTTATCTCTGGCTGAGTTTTGGTATAACTCATCCACTCACTCTGCATTGGGCCACTCTACCTTTGAAGTTATGTACAGATACCCCCACATCACTTTGGCCTGGACATCAGTTCTCTGGCGGACGTTCCTGATTTGCAGACATGGATGCAGAATCGTGAATTGATGCATGCACTTGTCAAACAGCACCTCCTCAGAGCACAAGCTCGGATGAAACGACAAGCTGACAAGGGGCGATCAGAGCGCACATTTGCAGTTGGCGACATGGTATTTCTAAAGTTTCAACCGTATGTTCAGACAACCGTTACGCGCCGCTCCAACAACAAGCTGCCATTCAAATTCTTTGGGCCCTTCAAGATCTTGCAGCGCATTGGTGCAGTGGCGTACAAGCTGGAGTTGCTGGACTCCGCAGCAATCCACGACGTCTTCCGTGTGTCACAATTGAAGCTGTCCCCTAGAGCTCAGCAGGTCTCACCCTCACTTCCTAATGATTTGCAGCAGTTTCAGGTACCGTCGCGTGTACTTCAACGATGCTGGACCACTGGTGATCGACCAGTTGAACAAGGTCTCATCCAATGGTCGCACTCCCCACCGGAGCTCGCTACCTGGGAACCTCTTCTTCCACTACGGCTGCAGTTTCCATGTGCACCGGCCTGGGGACACGCCGGTTCTCAAGAGGAGGAGGATGTCAGCAACCCAGCCTCGCCTGCAGCTGCCTCCACTTCGACCCCGGCCTCCACTACCGCTCCGCCCGGGGCCTGGCCCAGAAGGATCAGGAAGCCCAGCTCCCGCTACACCGGTTCAACCTGGAGCAAGTAGCTGATAGACTATATGAGAGAGGAGAGAAGCTTGAGCACGGCATGAACAAAATTGTATCCAATACTCCTATCTAATTCAAATCATTCCTCTGAACTCAATTCCGTGTTGTTCTTCCCCTGCTCTTCCTTTTCCCCTTCCCCAAACTGTGCTTCTCACAGCATCGGCTTGGGGAGGAGCAGGGGAGGAGGATGCGGAGGGAGCCGGCGTCGATGCTGGGGAGGACCGAGGGAGAAGAGCTCGTGCGTGGAGAAGACGAGGGAGAGAGAGACCGTAGGGGAGGAGATAAGGTTGGGTCGCCTTTTGGGGAGTCCAGGGGATGGGTGGTGTGCGTGCGTTCTTCTATTTCCCTTTTTTTTTTCTTTTTTTTAATTTTAATATAAACATATATAGAACAAATAAATATAAATATATATTATTAATACATTTTTGCTAGGCATCTACCAGAAGCACTAAAACAATATACCGGCACGATTTGGTTGGCATGCATGATTAAGTTAATAATATTTTTCTCAGACCTTTTGTTGAAACCGGTTAAAGTTCGATCTCAAAAAAAAACATTTAAACTAAGGTTCATTATCTCCTGCAAGCTGCAATTGATGCACACGACCAAATAAACACACTGATGCGTGAGAAGCTAGATTTTTTCGCTCGAGAAAGGGTTAGGTGAGGCATGAGGTCAGAGTAAGGGTTAAATGGGACGGGTTTTCTCTAGAGATGGGTGGAGAGTAGGGTCCAGGGGTGTTTATTCGAGGACAGGTGCTCTTCTGGAAATAAATAAATTTGATAAAAGGCGCTCTTCTAGAAAATAATTTATGCCGCAAAAGCTTGGTCGTAGATTTATGGCATCAAGAAATTGGTCTTTATGGCATAGCAAAATGTCACATAATGGAATTGGACTAGCTTGATGATGTTTTTTATGACACAAACTTCTTTTAGTTACTAAGATTGCAGGCCTCCAGAAAAAATGTCATAAACTGATTGATTTAGTGACTTTTTGATCAAATGTCATGCCATAAACGTCATAAACCGACGCATTTCTTGTAGTGTGCTAGGTAGTAAACACAAGAGAAATGCTAAATGACTCTTGGTTGTTTTTTAGGAATCCAACACTTGATTTTTAAGGCATCGATTGAGCACCCCCAATTGAAGCTTTTCTCGTCTGATTGCCTTGGTTCCAGTTTGGGTGATCTCTCCCTTATTTGTTCTTCAACTCTGGCCTTAGAAGGAAATTTTGGGGAGGAAGTCCAAACCTGTGGTGGTGGTGGGCGTAGGAATGAGAAGGTGAAAGGTCCTAACTGGCTAGAGGGGGGTGAATAGCCTAATTAAAAATTCTAGAAAGCACTAGAGCAAAGTGTTAGACATAAATAAGGTGATAAACAATTTTGCTCTAGCTCTACAAAGAGGTTGCAAGCCACCTACCAAAGCTAATTTCTATGATCTCTAAATCACACAACAAGAGCTAGGTTGCTATTCTACCACTAGTGAGCTAGCAAGAAACAAGCTACAACTACTTACTACAAGCTAGCACTAACAAGCTACTACTACACAAGTGTAACAAGAAAAGTAAAGCACAAGTGAGGAAGCTTTTACCAAACCCAGCAAGTGTCCAAATAGAATTCCAATGAGACAAGAGACACAATATTTAACCCGAGGTTCAATTGCTTCCCGGCAATCTACGTCCTCGTTATGATGACGCACTCACTTGGTGGCTCATGCGCTAATAGGCATTACATGCCTAGCCTTACACAAAGGCGCCATAAGAACCAACACAAGGTGAGGGTACACAAGTCACGAGCAATCCATTAGAGTTGCTTTTCGCGGCTCCCGTGGGGAAAAACACAAGAACCCCTCACAATCACACTAGGTGTTGCCACGAACAATCACCAACTCGTGCCAACACTCCTTTGCTGCTCCAAGCCGTCTAGGTGGCAGCAACCACCAAGAGTACCAAGAAAACCACAGCAAGAACGACCCCCAAGTGCCACTAGATGCAACCACTCAAGCAATTGCACTCGAAACCTCTCCCAATCTCACTTTGGATGAACAAATCAAGAACAAGATGAGTGGGAGGCTTGGGAGTATGCTCACAAGGTGTATCAACAAGTTAGAGGGACAAGAGCGTGAGCAAACCCTGGCCAAAGAACTTAAATAGAGCTTCAAGGACTCCACTAGCTGTTAGGCCCTTCACCGACCGTCGGACCCACGGTTACGGGACCATTGGACCAATGGTCCACAGCCCGACGCCCTGCTCGAGCCACTCGTGCGTCGCCACATGTCCCAGTAAAAAATCTGATCATTGCCGCGCTCCAACGGCTAACTGCCACACGCTGTCGGACGACCATCGGACTGCCACAGTGCGAGCGTCGGACCAACGTTGACACGGTCTGATGCCCACCAGAGAGGTTCTAGAGAGGGCAAAACCATCGGACTCGTCCGACGCCTACCGTCAGACCAAGCACCAGGGTCCGACGCTGTAACACCCTGTGTTTTGCATCATTATAAAATCCACTAAAAATTTGAGCTTTTAAAACTTTACAACAAATTAAAACTTGACTAGCTTAGTTTGTACAAAACCCATTTTGAAAAACCTTTTTCCAAAAGCCTTGCATCAAAACACATCATGTGCACTTAGCTTCGAAATGTTTGGAATGCTTGTTTGAAGGTGTGTATGATTTGTTTGCCCTAGATTGGCACAAAGTAAATTCTCCTTGACTTCTTCCCCCAAACTCCTTGACCTTTACTTGGAAACTATCCTTGAACAATCCCTTGAACTACCAAAACCCTCCACCATATAAATCTCCCTTGAATTCAATTGAAAACCAATTCAACTAACCCTAGTTTAAATTCTAGGAAATGAAATGCATTTCTTAAATAGAAAGTGGACCATGGGCTCAAACCCTTCCCCCTCTCACTTTCTGGCCCACGCCATGGCCCCCTCCTCCCACTTGGGCCGCCCCTGGCCCAACCCACGCGCGCTCGCCTCTTTCCCTCTCCCGCTTGGGCCACCCCAGCCACCCGGCTTCGTACCAGCGCGCCCACAGCCCTTCACCCTCTCCCTCTTGCACTCACCGACAGACAGGACCCACGCATCAGGTCCATCGTCTCCAGCGAGCCGACAACGTGAATATCGCGTTGTCTACCTCGGTCCCAACCCCGTTGCCTCGCCTAGTGCCCAAACGGATAAGGATCAAGGATGCCGTGGACCCCACAAAGCTTCGTGACCTCGCACGCTCCCCCTCCTCCTCTCTTCTCTCCCCGCCACGCAACCACACATGGCTAGTCGACCGTTGCTGCCGCCATGGCCACACCTTGGTCCCCGCTTCCCCTGGTCGAGTTTGGACAAGCATGCGTAGCAGCAGTAGGCTAGCTTCTCACCAAGCGACAATGAAGCACGTGCGCATGAAGAAAAGATCCGAGGGTGGTGAAAATATCAGCCGCCGCGACAACTGCCATGGCCGGCCTATAAATAGGCCTGGCCAGTGAACCTCAGTGTCAACCATCTCGATAGCGAGCTCCACCTAGACTAGGAACACCCCATCTCCCTCCTAGTTCCTCTTCTCCCCTCTTCTCCCGAGCTCTAGCTCTATTCTCTACAAATTAGGACACCACGTTCGCCATGAGAGCGAGCTCCGAGCTCTCCCTCTCTAGTCCACCATAGGTCAATAGGGTTAGTAGGCAAGCTCCTAGGTCCCTCCCTTACCCCCTCCACCGGTTACTACCTCTCTAATCTCTCTGTGTCGCCCTGCCGCCGAAAGTAGATCACCATCGAGCCACCGTAGGAGTTGCTCGACATTGGCAAGGCATGACAAAGCGTGGTGACACCTTCCGCCTGGGCGTGCATCCACTGTGACCACACACCATCACCTCTTCTTCGCTAGAACGCACCGCTAGAACAACTACTCGTCACCACGCTACCAAAATCCTTCCGGCGATCTGCCACCTCCGCGTGAGCACCCGTTGTCTTCGGGGACCCCTCCAACCACTATGGGATCACATCCCAAGGAATGGCCACTGAGTAGTATCGAGCTCAGGCCACCACCGTGACCGGCGTAACCCGCTCTGGTGAGTGCAGAGCCACCCCTCTGTTTTCGGGCAAGCCGACGTCGCCGTTCCAACTCTGTCTCACCTCCATGCCCCTCTCCCTCTCTAATTGTGGGCCAGGCGCCATGCCACCATCCCCCTCCGCCTCTATCCATTAAAGAAAGGAAAAAGTCTATTTTTGGCCCTCCAACTGTGGCTGCAGTTCTAGCCCTCTAGGTCGAAAACCAGACATGCGCAATCCCTTGACTCTCAAAACCGTTTAAAATTGGCCCTCGCGCCCATTCGATCGTGGTTTCGGCACAGTCAAACCCGCCACGACCGCGGTTTCAGCCCAGTCTCCATGTCTGACGAGCCGGGTCCATGGTGGCTCCTGCAAGCGGTGGCGCGGCACTCGCGTGGGGGCGCACGCCGCCATGGTGACAATGGGAGCAGCCGCCGGAAGAGGGGCACACGGATCTGGTGGGTGGGGGCGTGGGGGGTAGGTGCTCGGGGCACACACAGCCGGGCCTAGAGAGGGGCGATGGCCAGCGCAGCAACGGCATCTCATCGGAGCTCACGTGTGCGGCCTCTCCAGACCTCGCGCTCGAGGTTGGGGCGCATGAGGAAGAACTGACAGCGCTCGAGGATGGAGGCCGAGGCTCACTCGTGGCAGCGTGAGAGGAAGGAGGCCGGGGTGTGCTCACGGTGGCGGCCAACGCAGCAACGGCGTCTCCTCGGAGCTTGGGAGCACGGCCGTCCTATCGTAGCTACGGCTTCCTATCACAGCTACGGTGCGTCGAGCTCAACGTGGGGGCACGGTAGGCCATGGCTACCTCTCCGAGTCGCGCCTCGGCCAGCCATGGCGGCCTCTCTAGACGTGGCCTCTTCTGCTCTTCTAGCCCCAACACACAACGAGGCGGCGCCATCGGGCGAGGCGCGTGGCGGCAGCCATGGACGGGCCATGCGAGGTGCATGGCAGC